AAAATATTTTAAAAAATGAAAATTAAAAATATTAAAAAAAACAAAAAGAGTCAAAAGACCAGAATCAGAAAGACACAAACTCCAGGGACCTTCAGACCTCCACTCCCAGGGGCCTTGCCCTAGTACTCGGCATCCCAATTCTGAAATCGAAACTCCAGTACCCTACCCACTGACTTAATCTCTTGTCATCAGGGCTGCTGGCCAAACACCACCTCCTCAGAGAGGCCTTTCTTGATCACTGTGTAAATAGGGCACATACACCTTGTTTTATTTCCCACATTTATTCCTTTTGTGTGAATGTTTATTTGTTTACATGTTTATTGTCGGTCTCCTCCCCGCTCCAAATGGGGGGATCCATGAAGGAAGGGATCCTGTCTAACTTGTTTAATGCTGTGTCCCAATCTAATGAGAGTACCGGGCACTTAATAGGTGCTCAATAAACATTCGACTGACTGGCCAGTGGCTGAATACCTTCTCTCATTTCCTGGAGCTCACCAAATCTTCCTACCTCAGCGCCTTGGCACATGCTGTTTTCACTGCCTAAAATATTCCCAAACCCCATTCTTCGCCTGGCCAAGTCCTACTCTGCCTTCAAGGTTATCTCCTCACAGAAACCCCCAGAACTCTCTCCCTCAACCCAGAACCTGGTGCAGTTCTTCACAGCACATCACATACTCTTCAGTTTTGTGTTTAGGCAGGCGATGATTTAATTAACATCCATCTCCCCCATTTGACTATCAGCTGCCCTAAAGGTGGACCCCAGTGCCACTGACCCACCCCTCCTTCCAGCTCAGCTCCCTCCCTGCAAACCTGCAGTTCCTTCTGCCCAGGGGACTTGTTCTGACCCTTTCCTGGGTCCTAGCACCTCACCGGGGAAATTTCTCTCCCTGGAGCCTGGATCCCACAGCATGTCACTTCCCTCCTTCTCTGGCAACACCCTCAACACCACTCCTCACAGCCCTGCGGCCACATTGCCCTCCCAACACCCCGCCTGGATCCATTGGCTGCTCTCTGGGCTGAAAACTGCCCTTCCCATGAGTCTCTGGGGCTTGTTTCTATTCTTCCAGGCAACAAACACATTCTGTCACCCTCAGGGCTCTCTCAGGGCTAAAATGGACGTTCCCATGTACCTTGGGGACCCATTTCCTTCCTTTGACTCTGAGAGAAGACACCTGCTCTCCCCTCAGGCCCAAGAACACCTCTGCGGGAGGAGAACACACCTTCCCATGAGCCTCTGGGGCCTAGCCAATCTCACTGGGATGCCATTATCCCCACGGACGTCCTCCCGGCCCTGCACATTCATCCAGTCCCACACTGAGTTCCTTTCTTCCCCAAACCTGCTCCTCCCCCAGGTCACCCATCTCCGGACTGCCACCAACCCCAGTCACCACCTGACCCTGGGCACTGTCCCTGCCTCCCCACTCCTTCTCAGTCCGTGAGGCCCCTCCTCCGGACTCTCGCTTCGCTGCCCCCACCTCCCCCCCAGTATCCCAGGTCAGGCCACGTCCTCCGCTCCAGACCCTCACCCCAGCCTCCTCTCTGGGATTCAAATCCAGAGAGCTGGGTGCAGAAGCAGGGTAAGAAAGGTCTATGTAGACAGAATGGGGAGTGGGGGTGCTGAGCCAAAACAGAAAGTACTCACTCTGGAACATTCCAGGGGGGACCAGAGCCCCCTGACCAAAACTGGAAAAGCTCAGAAGCCTGAAAAAGAGACAAAGAAGGGGGAGCAGGGGTCAGTCAGTCAGTCAGTGCCCCGTCGAAACCAGAGCCCCCCCCTTTCCAGTTCTGAGCCCCACAATCCCTCAGCCACCTGAGGACCAGCAGGGCCCAGTTTGGCCTGCAGGGAAGGTGCTGAGATGAGCTGGGCTGAGGACATGGTGGCCATGGTCTGGAAAGCCTTGTCCTTGGAAACCTGGTCCTGGAGGAGAAGTTGAGGTCCATGTTAATGGGGAATCCCAGTCGACATAGCAGGGGTGGGTCAATGCCAGGGAGGGCAAGCATGGGGAGATGCGGAGCTGGGGAGTCAAGGCAAAGATTTGGGGGAGGGCACAAATCCTTCTTCCTACAGCCCCCTGCCCCTCCTGGCCCCCTCAGGAATGCTGGGGTAAAGCAGCGGGTGGGAGGATGGGCAGGGGGACTTACCACATTCAAGGCCTGCCCGTGGGGGTGGGGGAGGGTGCCAAAGGAAGAAAGAAAACATGACTTAGGAAGTGAGGCCTGGATTCTCACCTTCCTGCTCTCCCTACCCCTACAGTTCCACCACCCTGAGCTGAAAAATGGGAGGAAGGGGGAGCAAGGATGAATATGGAACAGGAAGTAGAGGGGCCCAGGCCTAGAGGGAAAAAGGGGTTCTTATACCCATCATAAAAGACAGTACACAGTATAAGGGTTTCTAGGTCAAAAAAGAGGTGGAAGTGAAGGTTTCCGGATATGCCGACAACAGGACGTGAGAATTTCAGACCCAGAGGGAATAGGTAGTGAACATTTCCTAGCCCAGACAGGACAGAGATGGGACCATGAGGTCCAGAAAAGACCAGAAGTGAAAGTTTTTTGGACCTGGAGAGAAAGCAGATGGAGGCTTCTGGGTATAAAAAAAAAAAAAAAGGAACAGGAAGTGATGGTCCCCAAATCCAAAGGAAGAGGCAGAAAAGACCCTACACCCAGAGGAGAAGAAAATGAGGGTCTCGGGCCAAGAGGGAACCGGAAATCCAGCGGATGAAGAAAAAGAATGTGAAAATTTCCAAACAAAACAAAGATTTCTGGACACGGAAATGACAGGCAGGCCACATGGGGACTAAAAAATGGGAAGATGAACCAGAAAGAGATGAAGAAGAGGTCCTCATAGCACATGAGGGGAAAGAGAGGACACCAGGAGGAGGAGAGGAGAGGAGAGGAGAGGGAGGGAGGGGGATGACAGCAGTGGCCAGAGGAGAGGCCTGACACCCTGTCCTTCTTGCCTGTCTTGAGCTAAATCTCTGTCCCCCTCTCTCTACGAATCTCTTCCTCACCCAGGACCTCTATCCACCCCACTTCCTGGGCCACTCACCCCGCACCTGGGATCTCTACTTCCTCGTTCTGTCTACGTCTCCGTGTGACTGTCCCCATCTCTGGTTCTCTGTTACCCACTCTGGGCCTCTCTGTCCCCCTTTCTCTGCATTGCTGTTGACCTCTTCTCTGGGTCTCTGTCTCCCCTCTCTCGCTGGGTCTCTGTCTCCTTCTCCCTGGGTCTCTGTGTCCCTCTCTCTGATCCTCTGTCCCCCACTCTCATGGTCTCTGCCCCCTCTCTCTGGGTGTCTGCCTCGGTCCCTACCTTGAGCTTGGACTGGATTTCCCTTGATTTCCTTCGAGCCAGAACTTGGATGTGACTAGAGACCTGGGGGGAGCGACAGAGAAGCAGACTCAGGCCATGGCCACTTGCCCCTTGAATCCCCTCCCCCTTCCCACCCTCCAGGTGGCCCCCAGAGCTCCCAGAACATGAAAGATGATGAACGCACAGAACATACTAGCTATCTCCGGCACATGCTAACACAGATGTGTCCACAGAGGCTGGTCTCTTCTCACCAGTGCTACTGATCTTCCCCAGACCCAGCAAATCCGGGCCTCCTTTCCCTTCCTCATCTTCTTTCTGGATCTTTTCGGCCTCTCTACCTTAGTCTCTGGTTCTAACACAGCTGCTAAGAGATCCAGACCAAAACAGGCACAGTAGAGAATACTCATAGAGGTGCCAACGAGACAGACGAAAGCACATGACCCAGATCCTCCTTGAACCTGAAGCCGCCCATCTGAGGATGGCCCCTCCCCCAAAGACAAGCCCGCCCCAGAGAGAGGCCCACAAGTCAGTCCTGAGACCTGTTTGCGAGTTCGGGTCTTCCCTGTTCTCAGCTTGATGTAGCGGGCAATCAGCTCATTCCGACCTGAAGAGTCAAAGACGGGACAGAGTTAGACCTTCACGGGACTTCCCAACACACAGGACACCAGGGAAGAAGAGAGAAGCAACAGTCTGCAAGCAAGCTGGGCTGCAGATCATTGCAGCTCTTTGGGAGAGGAGTTACCACCACAGACTTTGGAGCCTGACTGCCTGGGTTCAAATCCCAGCTCCCCACTGCTGTGACCTTAGGCAAACCATTTAACCCTCCTATGCCTCAGTTTTCTCATCTGTGCAAGTAGCAATAACAGCTCCTACCTGAGTCTTAATCAGTGGGGGCCAGGGCAGAAGAGAGGGGGGGACTCACCATACATCTTGCCTTCATCAGACAGGATGATTTTCCGCCGGCCGCATGGCGGGTAGATGGCCAGGGCCTCCTGGAAGCTCTGCTCGATGTCTGGACTCCACACACCTTCTGCGTCCGGACCCCCATCGCCCCCAGCCCCCTCGCTGCCGCCGGTGCCCTCCTCACTTCCTTCCTCACTTCCTGTCCAGCCACTGCCATCGTCCAGGGGGGCCCCAGCCCGGGGTTCCCCCATCTGGGCCTGGAGGAACATAGAGCTCAGCAAGGTTCCCCACCCCCCACCCAGCCGCCCCCCAGAGAGACTTCAGGGCAGTGAGGGCTGGGAGTTCAGATTGCTGGGTCTGAGGGAGGAGAGAGCGAGGGGGCCCGGATTTCTGGGTCTGAGGGAAGCAGGAGGCTGGGGGTCGGGACTCCTAAGTCCTGCAGAAGGGGGCTGGATTTTCTGGGGCAGCTGAGGGTAACAGTGTCCTCTGTGTTTCCAGGGGAACTGGGTTGTGGTGAAGTCTTGAAGACCCCAGAGTAATGCCTACGGCGCATGAGGGCCAAACCTTTGGGTATGGATTACTGGCTTAAAGAAGACTGGAGTCGGGGCCTAGTTGCAGGGAAGGGGGTTGTGGATGAGATCTTCTCAGTCCCACCCCAAGAACAGGTGCTAGGATGTGAACAGCAGCTGCTAGAAAAGAAGGAGGAGGGGCCCTGGCCCTAGTAAGACTGAAGGGGGGGCGTCCAGAGAGAGGGGGACAGAGATCCAGGGAGCACAGACAGACTTCCAGAGAGGGGGAAACAGAGATCCAGTGGGGCGGGGGGAGACAGACACCCAGAGAGGGGAGGCAGAGAGACCCAGAGAAAGAGGGGGACAGAGACCCAGAGAGAAGGGGAGAGAGACCCAGAGAGAGAAGGGACAGAGACTCAGGGCAAAAACTCAAGCCCAGACCAGGAAAGACCCACAGAACCACAGACTGGAGGGCAGGGGCGCCCTGCCATCAGGAGAGCCAGAACAAAGGGCCCAGGCGTCCCCTCCCCCAGTTTCCCACAACCCCCATCTGGGGAGGGGCTGGCCGGCAAGGGCGCCTCCCCTCTGGCCCTCGGCCCCGCCCCTTCCCTCCCCTCCCCCTGCGCCGTGGGCTCGGATCCAACTCAAGTTCCCAGTGACTTTCCGGAGGCCAGGAACAGGGGAAAACTTTTTCCAATACAGTCAGATCCCGCCTCCCAGGCGGCTCCACGTCTTCCACAGCTTTCCCAGGACCCCAGAGTCCAGGCTCCCATCCCCCTCCTCCCTCGGACCCTGGATCCCAGGCCGAGACAGACAAAGACCCCAGGCCGAGCCCAGTGGCGCTGAGGCGTTCAGGACCCCCGTAGGCCAAAATCCCAGCCCAGCTCTCCCCATGTGGCCAGACAAAGGGACGGAGGAGCCGGGTAAGAAAGGTCCCCACTAATTTCCCGCCCCAGGCCCCAAACTTCCGAAAAGGCAAGACTGAAGATCCAGAAAGCACTGTAGCCCGCCCTATGCCACCCCGGAGGCCTCCTTTCTCCATTAGGAGGACCAGGCGTCCACAAATGACACACAGAAACCAATTCGGTTAGAAACACGTACAGGATCCTTTCTCACTTCAAACCCACACCGCCGCATACACTCATACCCTCCGGACACAGCCGCCAAAGTCCCCAGCCCTCACCCACTCCCGAGCGCACAATCCCAAACTCAGACCCATCAACAGACACCCCAACTCCGGCGAAAGTTCCAACACCTCACTAAGACTCGGTCACAAGAGCAAACTCGGGCCCCCGGGCAAAAAGAGGGCGGCAAGCAATTCAGAGACGATCCCACAAACACCTCAACTCACAACACGTAGTTTCCCACCCCAACTCACACACCCCAAAGCTGGATCCCCGACTCCCGCCGGCGCCTTCCTACCTCCCGGCCTGGGGCTGGGGAGCCGCGGGCGGGCGGGGCGCTGCGAGGGAGAAAGTTGCCCGGGAGCTTTGTTTGGGAAAAGTGGGAGGGACCGGAGGGGGGGGCGGGCCCGGGCGCCGGACACAGGGAAGGGGGATCCGACCGTGACAGTTTGGAGGATTTTTGCTTTGGCAAAGGTGAAGTCTAGCTTGGGCCTGGTAGGAACTTCAGGATTCAGATGCTTGCAACCCTGGGAGAGGAGAGGGATGGGGATCCGGACTCCTAGGTCCCAGGGCGGAGATTGTTGGGGGCCAAGAAACCTGGGTCTGAAGGAGCTGGGGTCTGGGGCCCTGGACTTTTGACTACCCTCTAATGTGTTTGTATTTGGGGATGTGGGAGTGATAAGAACACAAAAGAATCTTTTCTGTTCAGCCTCAAGTATATTTTTTGAGGATCGGGGTATGTGAGGATGGGTTTTTGATTTCTAAGACAACAGGGTTTCCTGTGACTTTGCCAGAGTTAAGAGGCGGGCAAAAGGACTGGGAATTTATTGGAGATTCACGGGAGAGCAGACTCTTGCAAACACACGCGCCAGTGGACTGGAGGTGGCAGCTATCCCAAGACCGGGAGAGAGCCTCGGTGCCCGAGCGGAGAGGAGCTACGGCCCGGACTCCTGGGTCCCTCAAAGATGAGGTGTCGGATGTTCAAACTCAGGGAAATAGAAGCGCTTGGGGTCCGGACTCTGGGACCCTAAGGCGAAGGGAGCCTGGATTCCGGGCTCCTTGGAAGGTGGAACATAGGACTGGATTTAGGTTTCCGGAGAGGGTGGGGCTTTTTAGTGGAACCGAAGAGGGCTGTTGAATGCAGCAATCGTTTCAAATCCCGGAGAAGATGAGAAAGGACACGGAGAAACTCAGAGATAAATACAAAACTAAGGAGTGGATGAACCAGAATGTTCGGACTCGGGGACTGGGAGCCTAAGAATGGAACTGAAGGGGCTAGCGGCGAGACCCGGGGCACAGAGGAGTGGCCCAGGTGTGGGGGCACGGCTCTAAGCAAGGGGCGTGGCCATCTGCCATTGAGGTGGGGCGCGAGGGCCGAGATCCGAGAACGCAGGCCACACCGGGGATTCAGGGCCGAGGTCAACCGGCAGGGGCGTGGTCAGACGATGGGGGTGTGGTTAACAAATAGGGGCGTGCCTCCGCCCTTAAGGGCGTGACCACCCAATAGCGGGCCCGGCTCGTGGGTGAGGTCAGCAGATGGGGGCGTGGTCAGGTAATAGGGGCGAGGCTAAGGCTCGCAGAGCTCATCCAACGCTCCAGGTATCCCGCCTGGGCTCGAGACCAGAACTGTTTGGATTTAACAGTCCGTGGACCGACGGCTGGAGTCTGAGAGTCCGGTGACCGGGCTGTGGTCTAGCATAAGGCGGGGCCCAGGAAAAGGGGCGGGGCGTGGGAGAAGGTGAGGAATGAGATCTGGGTATGAATGCGGGCGAAGGAGAGGAAAGAGATCGGTTTGTGAGGCAGCTCCCTGAGGAGAGGGGCCTGGGAGGAGGGGCGGGGCCTGACGCGATGGAGGGAGTGGGGCCAGAAGGACCGAGGGGGAGCAGTGGGCGGGGTGTGAGGAATTGCCCGGGCCAGGAATGGGAAAGGGGTGCAGGTCTTGGGTGGGGGCGTGACCATTTTAGAAGCGGGGACTCTGACCCCTACCTATGCCACAGCCTCCCGGCCCGCCCCGCAATGTGGCAACCTCTGGTCCTGCTGCTGCTGGTCCCCTCTGCCCTGGTGCCCCCCTCCACTGCAGCCCCGATCCGCGATGCTGACGCCCAAGAGAGCTCCTCAGGTTTTCTAGGCCTCCAGAGCCTAATTCAAGGCTTCACCCGGCTTTTCCTGAAAGTGAGCAATGGCAAGGATTGGGGGTAGGAAGAGGTAAAAAGGAGAGGGATGGGGGCAGATGGGGACTGAAGGATGGAAGGGGTTCGGAGAGACAGAATGGAAGGCGGGTTGCGGCCAGGCAGAAGGAGTAAGAGAAGGAAGGAGTCAAAGGGACGGAGAGAGATCAATAGAGGGTGACAGCAGACCGAGAGAGAGGAAGAAAGGGAGGAAATCAAGCAGAGAGGGAGATGAGACAGAGAGACAAAGACTGGATGGAGAGAGAGACTCGGAAGGAGAAGGGGATGGGGCCATAGAGACAGTAAGACGGGGGCGGGGAGGGGGGAGCAGGAATAGGAAGGTTATGGGACAGATGGGGGATGGGACACAAGGTGACCAGGTTAGGCCCTAAGGGTCAGAGGACAGAGAGAGAAGGAGCTGGGAGGTACTTGGGGCAAGGCCTCAAGGACATCCTGGTAGGGCTGCAGATTTACTTGGGAGTCTTGAGATCCAGCAAATCAATGGTCCCTCCTCTGGCCCCAGGATGACTTGCTGCGGGGCATGGACAGCTTCTTCTCTGCCCCCCTGGACTTCCGGGGCCTCCCCAAGAACTACCACCAAGAAGAGAACCAGGAACACCGGCTGGGGAACAACACACTCTCTAGCCACCTCCAGATCGACAAGGTGCCTGTGCCGGGAAGTCTCTCCTGGAGTCTCCCCATGATCCCTCATGCTGCAACATCAGTGGGGAGGAGGGCAGCGGAAGGAAGCAGTTTTGCTCTCACTCTCTCCTCCTGATCTCACAGGTGACAGACAACAAAACAGGAGAGGTGCTGATCTCCGAGCAGGTGGTGGCATCCATTGAGTCGGGAAAGGGGAGCTTGGAAGGTGACTGGAAGGTTAGGACATGCCCCTGACAAAATGTCCCATCCCAAACATTTTCTGTAGTTTAGGAGAAGATGAGTTGACACTCCCATTCCGACTGTTCACTTCCTCTCACTGGGCCTCAGTTTTATCATCTGTCAAAGGGACCAACCAGCTCTCAGAAATGAGGGTTTACAACCTCAGAGTATATCTCCCCACTCGCTTAGTAAACCCCAGAGAGTTTTGTAAACCAAAAACTGCTTTACCAAGTGCTGGGTAATCTTCACCCTTGTAAATCCCAAAGTGTGTTTTTATCTCAAAGTACTCTGCAAACTTCCAAGTACTTTTTAATCTGTCCCAAAGGGATAGATCTCTCTCTCATAAACTTCAAAATGTGATCTTTCATTCCAAAGTGCTTTATGAACCCCAAATCCTTTGCGTAGCTCACCTTTGTAAACCTCTAAGGGTGATTCTAACCACAAAGTGCTTATTTTCTTATCCTAAAACGTTTTAAGAACCCCCAAGCACTTGGCAAACCCATATGGGTCTTCCACACACACCCCCCACCCAGATTTTCTTGAATTTTTGAATCGACAGAACAGTTGAAAAAAATATATAATACAGTAAACCTGTATTCCCTTTTCTTTTTTTTTTTTTTAAGATTTTATTTATTTATTTGAGAGAGAGAGAATGAGAGAGAGCACATGAGAGGGGGGAGGGCCAGAGGGAGAAGCAGGCTCCCTGCCGAGCAGGGAGCCCGATGCGGGACTCGATCCCAGGACCCCGGGATCATGACCTGAGCCGAAGGCAGACGCTTAACGACTGAGCCACCCAGGCGCCCCACATTTACTTTATTTTTACTTTATCATTTTTGAACTATGTGACAGTGAAGTATTGACATCATGGCACGCCACCCTTAAAGCCTTCAGTGGGTATCTCCAAAGAATAATGCATTCTCCCGCATGACCACAGTACCATTTTTACACCCAAGAAATTTAACATTGATAATCACACTATTAGAGTTTCTGTATTAGTTTGCTAGGGCTGCCGTAACAAAGTACCACAGACTGGGTGGCTGAAACAACAGAAATGCTGGTTCCCAGTTCTGGAGGCTGGGCATTCAAGGTCAGGGTGTCACCAGGGTTGGTTCTTTCTGAGGCTGTGAGGAAGAATCTGTTCCATGCCTCTCCCCTAGCCTCTGGTGGTCTGCGGAAAATCTGTGGCATTCCTTGAAATGTAGAAGCATTCCCCCCCACCCCCATCTCTGCCTTCATCTTTCTCGGACTTGTCTCCATGTGCACCTCTATGTCCAAATTTCCCCCTTTGCATAAGGACACCAGTCGTATTAGATTACGGCCCACCCTAATGACCTTGTCTTAACTAATGAAATCTGCAATGACCCTGTTTCCAAATAAGATCACATTCTGAGGTACTGGGAATTAGGACTTTACCATACGAATGGGGGTGGGGGCGTGGAGACACAAATCTCCTACAGGACTTCTCAGAAAAATGCAGACTCTGATTCAGTAGGTCTGGATGTCTAATTTGCTAATTTATATGTCTAACAAGCTCCCAAATGTTGCTGATGCTGCTGGTCCACAGCCCACACTTTGAGTAGCAAGGAGCAAACAGACATTCAGTCCATACTCAACTGTCCTGAAAGAGGGACCAAAAGCTGTCCATAAGAGCTGATTTGTTTTTTGTTTTTTTTTTCTTTTTTTGAGCTGATTTGGTTTTTGACCCAGGATTAAATCAAGGATCACACGTTGCAACTGTGTGCTTTAGGAAAGCCAAGAGCTTTTAATCCCAAAGTGATTTGTACATTTCCAATTGCTTTCTAAACCTGAGTATGTTTAATCCTAAAATGGTTTTGAAACCTCGGAAAATGTGCTTTCCATCCCAAGAGTATTCTATAAATCTCAGTATTTTAAATTCTAAAGCACTTGTAAACCCCATCCTTTGTAAACCACAAAATGAGCTTTAAACTCCCAAAGCACCCTGTTGGTGGCAAAATGGGCTGAATATGCCAGAACGGACTTAGCATTCTGGGGTTGTCATTTGGAGTTTAAGACGTCTCCTTGTCCCTCCTCCCCAGGTTCCCAAGATAGAGGAGAAGGAGGCCTTGGTGCCTGTCCCAAAAGCCATCGACAGCTTCCACCCAGAACCCCATCCCCAAGTGGCCTTCTGGATCATGAAGCTGCCAAGGCGGAGGTCCCACCAGGATGTTCAAGAGGGCGGCCACTGGCTCAGTGAGAAGCGACACCGCCTGCAGGCCATCCGGGATGGGCTCCGGGATGGGCTCCGGGAGGAGACCCACGAAGACAGCCTCG